GACCAAACTAATTTTACTACTACGAGGTTATAACTTAATTGAGTTGTAATTACAAAATTTAATTTTTGACTTAGTTATCCTTAGTGCAAGTGGTATAAGGTAATATGCACTACATTAACAATTAATAAATGGAACATGTCAAATCCAAGGTATGGACATTGATAAAACGTTGCATTCTCTTTAATGTTTTTATATCAATATAAATTCTAATATACATTGTATAACACGATCAATGCAATATAAAAATAATTATTATTATGTTTAGGAAAGTTCCTTGAGATGGGACCTAGAAAAATTATTAACTTAATATGATTTCTATTCTTATTTATAACTGACCCAATAATTTACTATAACTACATGGAGATTATTCTTATATAGGGTATCATCATAGAGAGGTCTTACTGTATATTTAAATTTGATTTTGACAAGGAAAAATAAATGGCTTAATAGCTATAAATATGACAAGATGATAATTAATAAGGTACGGAGATTAATTGCAAGGTGGCATTCAGAAATGGTAACACTGCAAGACAATTCGAGGGTAGAATTCAATGTCTAGAGTAGGACGCTTCATCCAATAAATTTAGGTATCCATGGAAACAATCATATTACAAATTACACTTGTAACTCACACTGGTGAAAAAACAAAATTATGCAAACCCAATTTGGAAAAAGAAAATCAATCAACATTTGAATTAAGTCAAACCGTGTGTAAACTTAGCATCAAATTCAAAGCCTCTTAGGAAGGAATCTTACTGTCCAGTTGCGTGTCTTTGCTAATCGCCTTGCAAGTGCATGTATGCAATATGCAACATCAGCCCGAGGCCTAATTGCTGATGTCGCGGCAAAAAATTCTGTAATCACCACCAGAAAGCATACAAAATCACAAGTTGACACATTTTACCAAATGCAAACGAATTTTTAAAAAAAAGAAAAAAAAAAAAAGGAGGAACATTTGAGGTCCATCAAAATCAAATATATAGAATAGAACCCCCCCCCCAACTCCATTATTCGCACACTTGTACCAAGTAAATAGAAACCCCATCTCCAAAGTTCAGATATCATATATAATAAGGAAAAATAAACCTGTGGTTCCAGCTATATGCATTTGGGTCTCCACTCAATTTTTGGAGACACAAAGGTCAATTCTGAAGCAAGTGCATCCCTAGAGACAGTTTCTGTTCTAGAGGGCTATTAAAACATCACACATTCTCACATGTAAGATGCTCTTTATTCGGTAACTCGGAACGCAATTCATCAATCTTCCCTGAATAAATAATGAAAGAATTGATAAGAAAAAACCTGATATTCTTCTCCCCACCCCATTTCTACTGCCTACTCTCCATGCATCCACCCACCCTTTGATTCCCCTACTCACATTGGGTTTTAAAACATGCTACATTGTGATAGGATAGTAGTATCAGGTCTGTTTTCTAGCCTGTGGAAATCAAAAGGTTGAGTTAGAGAGGGTTTGGAGCCTCTTATTATCATCTGGGTAAAGGTAAAACTAATTGAAGGAAATCAAATACTGAATAAAAAATTATGACATATCTAAATGCAGTTAAATGCAAAAATCCTTTCCTTTTTATCCCATCTCTCTCTCTCCCACTCAGTCTCACTCTGAAGCCTCATAAGCTTTTTTCCATAAGCAAAAAAGAGTTATCTGTAGCTAAACAAGAAAAAAATTACTACTTTAAGAATTGAATCTGAATACTTGACAGATGGATACTCAATTTCCTTCAATACTTTTGAGTGAAGTGAGACAAACAATTCTATGATCTTAAGAGACTGAAAAGAAGTGGAGGGGTCGGGTCAAAGTGGTGGAGGTGACCAGAAAAATAGATCAACTTTTTGTTTTCTTGTTTTTCAATTTACTTATATTTTAATTT